AATCGTCCTGGCTAGGTCTGGGCACTCTGGCAGAATCTCAGCCCACATTCAACCATGACTTTGCCTTCAAACACAATCTTCATCCTACATCCGTTGTCGCGCAGATTATAAAGGGTCGCCTTATTTGCTGCATACAGCAGGGCGGATAAGCGAAAACATGCTACTGCTGGAGCCTCCCTTCTTTCTTTTTCACCTTCCTTTCATAATTCCCAACTTAATTGAGAGCAACCGAAGTGCCACTGGAGTAGAATCATCTGCAGTCACCTTCCCACAGCACCCATCGGACGCCTGTCGGCAACAGTCCCTTATAAGGCCACGGTTTTCCGATTCCCTGGCGGGGTTCAACGTTCGCACTCTAAGGCAATTAGGTCAACAAGCACGCACATTGGACACACTGGGTATTCACGTGTGTTGTGTTTACGAAACTGGGATAAATAGCCCTAATGGGGTTGTTGAATTAACTGCACCCGTCTTATCCTCTCGTTATTGGTTGCACGCATCCGGAAAAGCCGATGCAGCACTCACGGCTCAAACTGGGGTAGGTATCATTTTCAGCTCCAAGAATGAGCCACTGTTGGTTGATTGGATTCCGGTGAACAACCGTTTGTTTGCAACCCGTTTGACATCAGCTAAGGTTTATTCCCTAAGTAGTACAAAACGCTGTTTGTTTGTGAATTCCGCTTATGCTCACATCGACTGCAGTTCAAATGCTGTCAAGGACACATTCTATCACGATCTGAACGCGCTGCTACGCACTGCTACCGGTTCAGATAGTCTAATACTTGCAAGGGATATGAAAGCAAAAGTACGGCGTCTAAACCTATGGGCTTAGCTCCCAACTTACTGACAACGGCGAGCCTCTGCTGCAACTGTGTGCGGAGCATCAGCTGTTTCTTACTAACACTGGTTTTAGACACAGTGGGTGCCGAAGTGCCACTTGGCGTCCTGTAGCTGGACAGCGATTGACCCAAATTGACCACATAGCCATAAGTTCCAGGTGGCTTGGTTCCATCCTAGATTGCCTCTCTTACTGGAATACCTTCGTCGACTGTGATCATGCCTTGGTACGTTGTGGTTTCTCTCTGAGCTTTACCGGGAGGCGCACCAAGCGTCTCCTCTGATTGGCAACTGAGAAATTGTCTCAGCCCTCGGTCAGGCAACCCTATCAAGACGCATTGCGTACCGAACTTTAGCTGTCTTGTTCTCATGCCATTGAGCTTCAGTGGTATAGGAACTCGGTCACTATGCACAACACAGGAGCATCTGCTTGGGACACTAACAATCGTCACCGCACCAGTCACTAGATATCCGAGAGGTCGGTGAACCATTTGGAATCCAGAAGGAACCTCCCGGCTGGCTCTGAGCAAAATGTGATTAGATGGGCTATTACGCATGAACTAAAGCGGAGCCTACGTGCTGACAAGGAAGCCTGGTGGGCCACTCGGGCTAAAGAAATAGATGAGGCAGGAGTAGTAGACAATTACCGCAAGCTGTTTCAGCTGATCCGCCCCACTAATCTTAGGATACTAAGCGTCGGTGAGACAATCAGAGGTAGAGCGGGTGCACTGATACACAATAAGGAACGCCGTATGTCTCTTTGGCGGAACACTTTCAAGATCAGTTCAGTTGGTCCCCTCCTCCCGGACCTCTTCCTACTCAGGTAATACAGGATGAGCCATAGACGGTTAGTTTACAGCCTTCGTGGGAGGCTGATATCTTAAACGCGATCACAGCCCTCAATCGTTTTCGTGCCGCTGGCCCGGATTCCCTCCACCTGTACTATTTAAGGATGGATTGAAGTCCTCTGAAAAGCACTGACTTCCCTATTCCAACGTATCTGGAATTAAGAGTGTCCCGGCTAATTGGAGCGGACTGATTATAATGGCAATATACAAGAAGGGCAGTCGCACAGATTGTTCTAACCACATGGGTATTAGCCTAACACCCACTGTGACAAAATTATTGGCCTCGGTTATCGTTCGTCGCCTCACTGCGGAACGGGAATCTCGGATTAGGGCAGAGCATGCCGGTTTCCGCCCAGGACATGGCTGTATAGACCATATATTCACTTTGCAGCAGGTGCTAGAGCAGCACCACACATACCGCAGACCGACAATAGCTGTGTTCCTCGATTTCAAGAGTGCATTCGATTCAGTCGATCGATCCATTCTTTTCTAGATATTTGCGCGGAACGGTGTTCCCACGAAATACGTGAACATTCTACTTGTTCTATACTCAAATACTACAGGCCGTGTCAGGGTCTACGGTGATCTGTCGGGTAGCTTTCCGACCACAAGTGGCGTTCGTCAGGGTTGTCCGATTTCCCCATTTTTGTTCAGTTTCGTCGTGAACTCTATCATGGAGCGTTCCATTGCGGAATCTTACAATGTAGGCGTTTAGGTCCTGCATGGGGAAAGGTTAGTTGATCTTGATTGTGTGGATGATATTGTCTTGCTTTTTGAGGATGTTACTGCGGCACAATCAACCCTGAATAGCCTGTCTAGAGTGATCCCATTATTTGGTATGCGCTTCGCACCTTCAGAGTGCAGTGCTGCTGCAAGACCTCCAGCCACTTGATGGCCCCTTGACACTTGCTAACGAGGGACTCGAAGTGGTTGATCATTTCATTTATCTTGGCAGCTGCATTAGCAACGATGACCGCATAGAAACTGACGTCAGCTCATGCATGGCAAAGGTCAGAGCTGCCTTCTTGTATCTGCGGCATCTTTGGCGACGGAAGGGAATTTCCCTCCATCTGAAAGGCCGTATATACAAGGCCACAGTGAGAGCCGTTCTGCTCTATGGTAGTGAGACTTGCCCCCTTCGGTCTGAAGATCTGAAGCGCCTCAAGTCTTTGATCATGGTTGTCTACGAAGCGTTACTTCTGTCGGATGGCACCAGCGTGTCCGCAACGATGACGTGCGTATGGGAGTACTAGGTGGTGATAATCATGCTAGCTTCCTCGAATAACAGGTAGCACTGAATAAGTTGCGTTGGCTCGGGCACGTGCTACGCATGCCTGGTCACCGCTTACCTAGGAGGGCCTTGTTTAGTCTGCCAGGTGTAGGGTGGCACAAGACTCGAGGTGGATAGAAGTTGACTTGGGAGCGGGAAATGTAGTCACTGACGACCAAACTGGGTGCCGTTGGTCCGTCTCGCCTTCCGGGTTGGAGTCCACGTGACTCACCTTGTGCTTGGCTCAAGACTTTATAGGACATGGCTCGCAACCGACACCAGTGGCGCGTCTGCTGCCGTCTTCTAATCAGATTGCCTGTTTGAAGTGTGTTTGGTGCTGAGTTATCTGCGGGGTAGTGGCTGATTATGACGCATGGCAGTGAAAACTGCAAGGAAGCTGTCTCGCCGATGCCGCCTTATCTTTGCACGATAGCCAGCTGTTTGTGACGGTATGTTGTCTATACAAGGTGTAGGCGCCTTGACCCCGAAATATTTGCTTAGGGCATTAAGGTGTTCAGGTAAGTCCCCCTTTTCTCCCTCTTCTTGTTCTTTATTTCATAGGTCCTCATGGTTGTATGGCAGCGAAGCATCAGTTCAAATGGCTGATGTACTGCTGTTGATGATGATGATGACCAATCCCATGAATGATCGTAGCGTCGTCACATTGTGTGGTGGAAGCATTTTCTTTATTGCCTCAATATTGGCTGGGTATGATCTTCGACCGTATTAATCAAGAATGAATCCTAAGTATTTTACCGAATCCAAGTGAAAGATACACTTTTCTTCTCTCAGGCAAAAGTCAAAATCTTGGATTCGATTAAGCACCTTTTTAATCCGGTTCTCTAGATCCGTCGGATCAGTGCCCATGATAATGGTGTCGTCAAGATATACTGCAACAGGTGGGACACCCTGTAACGTGGTGTCGATGATCTGTTGAAAAATGGCAGGTGCCGTTTTTACTCCAAATGCTAGGCGAGTGTATCGTGAGTATTGACAGTCAGTAGATCTTGTGAATCCTCGGAAACTTCCACTTAGAGGTATGTGTCCGACAAGTCCAGTTTGGCGAAACATTTGCAGCCATTTATCCTTTCGAACAAATCATTCGGCAGATGCAACGAATATTGGTGACTTTTCAGAGCAGCATTCAGACCAGTGTTGCACGATTGCTGTCGCGTCGCCTCGTTGTACACGCGGTAGATAATGGCTTTTTACCACCCATTAATGTGCATTCTGATCCGCTGCATGTTGGAACATAGTTTGGTACTTTATTCCTGATGATGGTTGCAATGGCCTATCACAAGTCCGCACATGCTGGCTGTCGTGCTGAGCCGTTGTTTGTACGCAGGTAGACGTAATATGGAATGGACGATACTACCCTGAAACTGGTTTCATAGAAGTAAACTGGTTTTGCTGAACACAGCATATTTCGTATTTTCTCCCCTGTCTTTTAATCAATTTTTTCTTTCTGAAGTCTGTGTATCATGAATGTCGCTGACCCGTAGCCTATAGGATCCTAACCCTGCCTTGTAGTCCGAGGGCGTGGATCAGATCCCGCGTAGTGGACCGGGCGACTCTAAGTATTCGTAGTCCTGAAAAACACTAGACAGCTGTTTCGTTCTATTAGGACTTTTCCCACTGCTTCTTCAGGAACCGGACCCATGCCCTCTCAACACTAACGATTTGCGTTACTAGCCAGTATATTACCGGCTAAGGCACAGGGGACGGCAACCACTGTATGATTTACTAGTCGATATAGTGTAACTCACCCTCCGCTGCCATGCAAGTTGCGAATGTTAGAGCGGACATAGCTAACCCCTAGAGTCACAGCTTTCCTATCGCTCACTGATACTTCGTCGTGCGCCTCTGGCCGACTCATCAGCACACATTTATCTAACGGCTGAATGAAAATGCACGCTCGATCTTTCCATTAGAACGCAGTCCAACTGCATTTTTACCCCGTAACCCGATTTTATATCATGGTATTTTTCATTTGATTTGCTTGTAATTACTAAGTCTTCCTTTTTCCAATCATCTCACTTCTTCAGCTTTGTCCCAGAATTCAACGTTCCAGATGCTTCTCTGTTGCTAGAAGAAGGTGTTACTATTTCCGATGTCCAGCCGAATGGCTTATCTGCGAACTTGTGGACTTCCTTTCCGGCGGATGTATCGAAGCTTGACACGCCTGCTGTGGACTCGCTGGCCTCAGATTCCGTTCCCAGACCTCTGCCTAGCTCACAAGCTTTGGCTGTTCACGACAAAGTTGTGCACCCAATGGTACACAGAAAGAGCTTTTATACAATTGATGAACACGACGTCTCCGGTACCTATGATCCAGTTCGATACAAAGAAGTGTCTGAGAGCTCATCCATTGCTGCCTCTCATCCATCCTGTTCCTCAGCGAACTCCCCCGCTCCCAACCAGCCTGCCTCAGGCGCAACTAATTCCAAATCTCCGGAACACAATCGCTCCGCGATCCATACCATTTTGGCCTCTCTTCCTGCTTCCCAATTGAAACGCTTAGAAAAGATGATCAGTGGCTTGTTGGATAAGAAGGGCCAGAGCAAGTCAGTACCACTTTCGTCAGCTAAGTCCAACGGGATAGTCTGTGGAGAATCCTCTAGCATTCATCCAAGCCATTTGGTAGATGCGGCAGTGAACACAAGTAAAGTATTTGCAGGTGATCCAGCTCTCTCTTCACACGGTCGACAGCAGCGATTCACTGGTGAGTCCATGACGTTTAGTCCATCGCGGCTTTTCTTCTTGGGATTGCCTTATTCTCCAAAAACCTCTTACCTTGCATCTCTTATGGTTTCTTTCGGGCAGCTCATCATAAAATTCGCGACATTCTTATACTTAATTGCATTCCACTGTGGCCGTAAGCAACCACACAATGTATGCGCCGCGTAATGCGATTATGCATGGCTTGCTTTACGCTGTACGCACATACCAACACCACATATTCAGTATGGAACTCAAGCATTGAGGTCAAGTGACGTGCGAGTAAATGTTAGCGTGATTTTCGCAGCACTAACACACGGACTCCCTTTGTGTTCGTCTAAACTCCCTAACAACTCTAGCGTTCGTACAACGCTGAAGCCACACATGTCCAGGATTGACGGATGGCATCCTCGGATGACCAAAGCCCGAAACCCCGAGGTGATAATATTACTCTTTCGATACATGTTTTCAACAAGCGATCTCGCAAGTGACACATCAGTAGAGCAATCCGATCATTTGTCTCGCTCTCAGTCACTCTAACCTGAACACCATGCCAAACACAGAGGGGCAGTCTGCCGTTTCAAAAATTTCAATTGGGCCAACTGCTGATTTGAGGTCGCAGTCTTTAGCTTCAAGGAAGTCCATCGCTAGCTAGTCTCACTAAAGGGGAACAAGATGCATGGACTTGACAGCTATCTCCCGTCGTTAGTGGAAGGCAGTACTGATACACTGGTGACTAATCTAACCAACGTTTTCGGCACTACTTGGCACATTAAGGAATTTATGGTGGTAGTCTGTCATTCTGTAGTGGATTTGCGCAAACCTTATCATGTTAGTTTAGACGAACGTTATGCGTAAGATGAGCATCATCCCTATTCACGCATATATTCTGGTAAGGTGCTGAGTCTTGAAAACTGGCAACGATACGCACCCGAATGGGGGACTAGATGCGAGAGACTTAGACCCATCTGCAACATCCGGCTAAAATGACGCACACGATCACGTGGCCACGCGAGTCCCAACCACCCACAAAAGACAAGACGAAGCGGGCCTCTGAGGGCTCTTTTACGACCCACAAAGGCCGAATCACGGTTGTCGCAGTGGTTCACTATGTGGGTGAAATGAATCAACACGTAGGGTGGTATTTTACGAAAGAACATTGTTCACTTTACCAAAGGTGTACCCCGACTCCGAATGGCTGGATCTTGCTACGTTGTGAGCAGAAATTGAACTCTGCGTCTCGCAGCCTACGCACTGGATTTTGTGGCACATTTTTGCGGCGTTACTTGACGTTTCCGGCAAAACATTCACATCTTTTAGAAGAGCCGAAAAATACCATATGGAATTCATGATTGCGTTATTCTTAGCACAACTGACTCTAGGCTATTCACATGCGCCTTGCTTCGGTCGTTACTGAAGTACTTCCCAAATCTCGTGTCGCCGAGCGAGATGTCTAGTTCAATCTCATGCAACATGAACAAAAAGTCAGATATCCCTTTTGCTAATTTGCAAAGATTTACTCCCTCACAACAGGCTGTTTCTATAGTATAGATTTCTCCATTTTAACAGCTGGCACCTTGATGAAACCTGGAGAAGCCATCTCATCGCTTGGTTCACGACCTGTATGACGTGCACTCAGTTTTTCAGTTTCGCATTCCTGCTATTTATAAATTCACTAATATATTATGCTACTGACAAGGTATGAGTAACTCATTTAATTTACAATTTCTTGGTCGGTAGCTCTGCTAACCAACCCAACAGATAACGAACGAATTAATAAAGCTTTACGTTATTTCATTTGCTAACCGATTTAATCATCGTAAACATGATTACTTAACCATTTTGCCTCCCTGTGTAACATTTAAAAAATCCCCACACCTGTTTATGTATACTCTTGTAGAACGATGGTTTATCAGTACAAATTATTATGCCCATTACTCTAGTTTCACATTGTCTAGACCAGGCGTCAGTTGGTAACCCGATTGGACCCCTACATTTCCTATTGTAACACCTCCTTCTGATCACCCACCAGATGACCAAACTTGTATTCGCTCAAATTCCAAGCGTTCTGACGACCAACCACACATTCGTCCATTACCAACGGCTCCTTCAGCAGGAAGCAACTGCAGCCACGCTTCGGTTTCCACACGTTCCCTGCGCGTAGTTTCAAGCTCCATTGAGGAGAATAAACAGCCTCCTCGGCCTATTCGAACTCTCGCGGAGCTTCGACCTATGTTGCGGTTGCAGTCGAACACAAATGCCCACTCGGTAACGGTTCTTTGTGTCACGACTGTGTGTGCGTGCTCATGCGTATTTTATCCTTTTGGGACGGAATCTGTTGAACACTTTTATGTTAGTTAGTTAGTTACCGCTTAAAGAATTGTGCTAAGCAAACCTCTTCCCACCTCACCTGGTGCATGGTAACAGTCAACCACTTCATGTGGCACGATTACATGATACATATGGTCCATTTGGTTGATGATATGGACTGATGCTGGTTCTCAATTCGCTGGGCGTGTCGGCGTCGCGTAATAGACCCCGTAACACGGAGCTAATGTACCCTGACCCACAATCACAATGAATCTAAGCCTTAACGTAGTGCAACGGTTTGCTTACCTCAATGATCCGTGTTTTTGTGCTGAGTGGTGCTTCTTGCACTTATCACTCATCCCAGATTGGTCAATCGTTAGAGGCCAAACAAACTCAATTTCCTGGTCCCCCAGGTAGGGGTTCGGAGTAAGTTTGGCTTCTTACTTCATAAAACAAACTCTTTGTTGCCTATTGTCAATATCCTTTGCCTTGCACTCAGGTTTTCGAACGAAAAGCTATGGTCGAGAACCATAATCATACTCCTGTCTATGCCTGAGCAGCATTACGTTATCCGGTCCACACAGTATACTGATAAACACTTCCAATTATTTCCTACTACTCTGGCTGTCTTAGAGAATAACTGTATACCAAATGCAGCATCAAGTGAGTGGGTTTGAGTGTCATGTAACTCAAATTGCCCGTCTTTTTATTTTCCATATTTCCCTTTTTCATGCTTATTGACCTTCGTTTTCTCCGGATTCTTTTCCACACTACCAGCTCTTGACTCTCTACCACGTTTTTGACAGCCGTATGTCTTCTAGATTTGTCTGATACCAACCACAGAATGTCACTCCTGCCTTACCGACTGGTTCGTTTCCAACCATGTAGACAATCTTAAATCACGCGCTTCTGCTTGAAGCTCTCAGTAGTCCACATGACTGGCATGTTTCAGTATGCGCTCTTTGTTACAGCTTGGTCAACAGATGAACACTTGTCCGAACACTGGAGACCCTATCGTTCGATATCTGCTGCCTATTGGAAACCCGCTGCAAAACACCAGCTCCGTGATTACTCTGCGATCCCCCATCAGCGACAGTGACGACACTTTTTCACTGCGTTTTTCCAGAGATGTTGCAACTCTGAGTGTGGGCCAAGCCGGTGTGGACAATGTTCTGGATTCAGGGCTGAAGCGGCCCTGATTGATTGGATCCCAATCAACAGCCTGATGCACGCCGTCAGATTGGCTGGCTCGTTTTAAGCTTTGAGGTCACGCGGGGCCTATAGATGCCCGCTTGTTATTGCTATATACACCCGTAAAAACTGGCACGGATTCGGTGAAGGATAACGTCTACCGCCAATGGAGTGGGATCCTACTTTACAGAAGAATTATGGATGCTGTACTCTTGGCTGGTGATCCGAATGCTCAAGTAGGAAATGTGTCCATTGGTGAGCTGCGTCCAGGCAGCTAACACTCTGTGTAGGCTCCCGTAATGATAACGATGAGCTGTCATTACGCCTACTTGAAGATGCTCGTTTATTTCTCGCGCGTGCTAACTTCCGACACAGCAATCGTCGGTGGTTGACATGGCGGCCACCAAACAAGACCCCAAATCGATAAGGTGGCGATCAGTTGCCGCTGGAGTGGTTGCATGCTAACCGTCGTTGGATCTGAAGTATAGGGTGTACTCCGACTATGCACTTTTATGTGCTATTTCGTGGTACTTATCAGTTGAAGTCCGCTATGACGCTGTGAACGCATTGTTGCTTGCTAACTGGAAAAGGCAGATGTTATGAATAAATAAATACATTTGTATATTTAGCGACAGACGGTACACGGCCCCACAAGTGGGAGCGATCATTTTGTGTATGAGAGCTTCCTGCTTAAGCACTTACTGAACACAGTTGACGGCTATTCCTTGCATGTCCAGCAGACGTTATTCGCAGCGGGTATATATGTGGCGACTCCGGTCATCAGCGTAGACGTTGAGTCTGTACGCAGTTTGTTCATCGACTCATTCGACTGGTAGCGAACACGAGATTCGCAACGATCTCAGGGCAAAACTGCTTGCTAGACTGAAAAGACGCAGATAATCCCGGTGGTCTTATCGTGTGTCGGAGATGGAAACAACCACCTTCCTTGGTAACCACCGCAATTTCTTTCATCTAATGTGAGAAATGGGCAGCAGGAGACCTGTGGTTAGCAGTGCAATACGCAACAAGAAGGAACAGGCTATTTATATAATATCAATACTCTTGGTGCGTTGCGCTGAGCATTTTGGAAAGCAATTTACTTAGCCGAAATCTCTAGATTCGCTGCCGGCTAGCGACCACCCTACTCTTTGAGCAGTTCTTAGGGAATAAATCCGCGCAGCCAGATGCATTTCCTCTAGCATTCTTTACATTTAGGATACTTGTATTTGTGGGATATTTCAACGATCTATTAGTAGAACTGTATGAGCAGGAAATTGCCCCAACCGACTGGGTTAGCTCCGTTATTGTCCTGATCATCAGAACGATATTCACATCCAGAGTAAGATATCAGCAGTACGCCGGTACACAGTACCGACGCTTCGCTGCCGCGTAATCATCACCAGTCGTACGAGGACCGTCTGTTCCCTCCACCCAGATTGGAGCCCACGCCATCGGATTATAAAGCCAATTCGTGATCTTTTAGGCAAGGGGTCGGTTACTTTCAGAATGCGCTAGTCATAAAGGTAGCCGTTTGACCTCAGTTTCCTCGACTTACTTGCCTCTATCGTTCATCGTAGATTGACTGGCAGCTCTGGAACCCATGAGCTCCTCATGATCTAGACTCCAAGCTCATTGAGTTTGTGGCGTACATGTACAATTTTAAACTTGTTCGTGTTGAACGGGGGTAGATCTGTCCTTGACCATTCAAGAGCTCCATCAAATTCTTGTTGCAGCATATGGTTCTCCTGTTGATTGCCGTTGGATGAAACAGATGGAGTTGCTCCCGGGTGATCCGTTTTTTCAGCTTGGAGCATGCAGATGATATTGTCCAAATCGGTTATGGCTTACAAATATGTAAAGCAGCACTGTTCATCTTACCTTTGACCGTCAGTCGTTTTGGGCTGTTTTGTTTGTACTCTGCAACTGAAATGCTTTTCTTTATGATTGCCAGAGACTGCCCCCTTGCACTAACTCTGGTTTGAATCAGCTCGAAGTCATTCAGAAATTCACATATTTGGGCAGCTGTATCAACATCGTTGACTGTATTGCCAAAGCTGGAGTTCGATGCATTAAGTTCCCTGTAGTAACTTGAATATCACAATAAGAAGATGAATGCTGCAAGATGGTACCATTTCGGGTCCTCTGTTCACTTGCAAACGGACAACATATCAAACGATAAGGTGAGAAAAGAGAAATCAATGAGTTAAAAGCATGAGATCACATGCAAGCGAAGTAAACGTTGGCTACGGCTTGCGTAGGAATTATTAACTGTAAGGGTGTTTTAGCGTAACCAACATTTGCTTCTGGATGCAGAATGTTGAACAATGCTTTTTTATGGCCACTGTCTCAGCAAACATGAGGACTCTGGCGTTTGTTTTGCGATAGATGACAATAAATTCCGAGTTGGGGTCCACCTGATGACCCGTTTCCATCAGAGGTTTCGCTGGAGTTACTTTTGCCAATCTTCGCCACTTGTGGCGCGGGCGTGACATTGCTGTTGCCCTGAAGGATAGGATCTACAGTGCAGTCGGTCGTACAACCCTCCGGCACAGTAGTGAAATCTGGCCCATCTAATCGACAGACGTAGTCTTATTACGTTCAACTACCAGTGCCTTCGCAGGTTGTCCGACATTCGATGAAAACACCGCATGAGCAATAAACGTGTATGTGACGCAGGAATGGTGAGTAGATTGCTGTACACCATTATCGTACGCTCCAAGCTCCGATGTCCCGGCCACTTGTTACGAATGCCAGCACATCAATTCGCACTACTTGCATTTGCGCGGCCTGGATCCGGACGTAAGAAGAGGAAGGGAGGCCAACTAATGACTTAAGGAGAAGGACTAAAGACATTCCCTTCGAAGTTGTCTTCGGTTGCTCCGGAAGACAATAAACACGTTTGGTTTGATATACTTTTTGATATGGCCGGAAGCTGACCTCACTTGGATCTGTTTTTCGGGTATCTTAGTCCCTTCATCCTACTTATTCTCCCTTTATAACCACAATGGGACTGTCAACGATGATGCTGTGCTGTCTGCTTTTACGCTATCTTCAATCAGTATGGAAGGTGGAAACCGTCCCGGCTAACTTGTGTGAATTGATTATGGTGGCAATATACAAGAAGGGCAGTCGCACCGATTGTGCTAACTACAGGAGTATTAGCCTAACGCCAGTTGAGACATGATTACTAGCCTGGCTTCTCGTTCTTTGCCCCACTGCGGAACGCGAATCTCGGATTAGGGAAGTGCAGGCAAGCTTCCGCTCAACTCGTGGCTCTATAGACCATATATTCACTTTGCGGCTAGAGCAGCGCCGCACATACCGCAGACCGACAATAACTGTATTCCTCGACTTCAACAATGCTTCCGTCGATTGATGCATTCTGTTCGAAATATTTGTGTGGAAAGATGTTCTCATGAAATATATGCATATTTCTCGTGCTCTGTACTCAAACACTATGAGTTACCTCAGGGTCTACAGTGACCTGTCGGATAGCTTTCCGATAACAAATGACGTTCGTCAGGGTTGTCTGATTTCCTCCTTTTTGTTCAGTTTCCTCATCCACTTTATCCTGGAGTGATCCATTACGGAATCTCACGATGTAGGCGTTGTGATGCTGCCTGGTGAAAGGCTAGTGAATCATGATTAGGCAGACATTATCGTCTTGCTGTTTAAACAATGTTTGAGCGGTGCGATCAATCCTGAAAAACCTCCTTAGGTGGTCCCCTTACTTGATACGCGCTTCGTACCTTCAAAGTGTTGCTGTAGGATAACCAGTCATTTGATGATCCCTTGATTCAGGATAGCGAGGAATTCGAGGTAGTTGATCAATTCACTTATCTTTGATCAATGCTGTCTGCGGGGTATTGCGGGTTTCGGGTGGCACCAGTGAATCCAGAGCGGTGATATGCGTGGGCGATTGCTGGAAAATGATATTCAAGCGAGTTCCTGTGAAAAACACAGCACTGAATAAGTTGCGTTAGATTAGGCACGTACTACGCATGCCCCGTCACCGCTTACCTGAGGAGAGCCTTATTTTGTTAGTCAACTGAAGGCTGGCGCAAAGCTCGAGGTGGACAAAAGTTGGTATAGCAGCAGGAAATCAAGTCACTGACGACCAAACTCGCTGCCGTCAGTCCGTGTCGCCTTGTGCTTACCTCGAAACTTTACAAGACGTGGCTCGCAGTCCTCAGCAGTGACGCGTCTGCTGCCGTCTCCTACTCGGATTGCCTGTTTAAAGTGTGTTTGGTGCTGAGTTATCTGCTACGTAATGGCTGATTATGACACCGGGCAGTGAAATACGCAAGAAAGCTGGCTCGCTGATGCCGCCTTATATTCGCACGATAGCCAGCTGTTTGTGCTGATATGTTGCTGACAAGGTGTGGACGTTTTTCCCTGAATGTTTACTTAGGACATTAAGGTTTTCCGGTAAGTCCATCTTCTCACCTTCTTATTAGTCTTCATTCTGTAGTTCGTTATGGTTTGAATGGCAGCAAGCATCAGTCCAAATGTCAGATGTCTTGATGATGATGATGATGACGATGCTGGTGGTGGCGGTGTCTAGAACCAAAACTGCGGTACCAAATTCCTCTTATTGTTTACCTTCACGACTCGATGAACGCGTCTAATTGCACTCCTCCCTTTACCTCATTTCTCATCAACAGTCACCATCGCTGAATTCCCGCGACCCTGAGGCTGACAAGTACTCCATGCTACTGGTACGTTATTTTTGTTTCTCCATTCTCCGGTAGTTTGTTCTGAGTAACATTCGCCTTCATGCAATTTGACGGCATGATATCGTTGTATCAACAACCAGCTGAATGCTTGTGGCTCTCTTTTTATGAGTTCCTCAAAAGCTTCGCCTACACCGATATAATAAGGCTGAGGTAGAGTCCAGAAGAGTAGGTGTGTTTTTTATTCGATCCGCTTGCTCTTGAGCTGACACTCATGATCGTGCCCATAGAGACATGCCTCGCATTATCCGAGAATAAATAATTTATTTATTTATTGCAATAGCTGGTCCGAATCGACACTTTAGTTTCCCAAAGCCATCACTGTGTCTGCTAACCAGCCCTGCGTACATGGTTGCGGTATCCTTTTAGGATATATGAAAAGTCGCTGTTTCTTCCAGAACTACCTGCGTTTCAGGTGCTAACGGAAGCGTGAAGCATCCTCTGAGCGTATACAAAGACAGCAGCGATGGAACAACAGATGACGGTCTTTTCGCTCCTTATCGGTGATTTTCATCTACTCTGCTATTACGCTTGCTAGTTAGATAGTTCAGCGCTGGTCGATAGGAACGACATTGTTGTGTTTTGCCTTGCATTCCATGTCTTGCAAGGTTGTAAGGTAGTGAACTGATCTCCACGCCGTCTAGCAGCTTCGGCGGGATGCGATTCAGAACTCATTGGTGCTGAGTCAAGATGATTTTCATTCCCTTGAGGAATGTTGGAACACGTAGTTGCTGAGATTCTTGGGAAACAAACACAAGCATTATGTCTTACGGTTGCTCCAAACCCGAGGGGTCAGTTAAACTTAACAATAAAAGTATGTGCATACTGCAGTCCACACGTGAACTTGTGGACCGGTATTCTTCTAATTTCCACTTTTTGAACAGGCCTAACGGCAAATAGCCCGCAGCAAACAATGCGTGGCTAACGTTTGTCACAAAATCCACACAGTCTTTGCCAAACTCTAGTTGTTCAAAAGACACTCTATGGTAACATGCGGATGATTGATAGGAAAGCCATGGAAAATTTACGGCAGTCATTCACTGATCTTTTGTTATGTGACATACCTACCCTAATTTAGCATGAGCTGTGTATGCAGCTTCATCTCGTGTTGCGTCGCCTGAAACAGAATACGATGCCTCTACACAAAACGTACTTCTATCTACTCAATTTAAGCATGAGGAAAATACCACTCAAAGACTCCGTAACAAAAGCTGTCCGCTGCTTGTAACGAGGACTAGAATAACCCCACATGTAATACCTTTATCGTCATCAGATTAGCTGTCTTGTAAAGCAACCTACTAATCACAATCAAGGCTTGTGAAAAGCCGAAATCATTTCATGCCAAACTCAATAGCTTCTTTTAGCTTGAAATGGTATGACCAATGTTGTCATCTGAAAGATATTCAAGGATGGACCGAACTGACATCAATATTCACTCATGCAAGCTGAATATGATTCGTTCTGTCCACACTGATCGGTTTCTACCTAAGGAAATGTTATTACCTTTTAGAGAAATGCAGTGTATTATTAATAATAATATTATTCTCATTCTTACGCCTATTATTAGCTGATGCATTCACTGTCGAGCACTGCTTTTAAGGTCTTGTCAGACCGTTGTTGTACGCTGGTATGTGGTCAACATTTTATCCCGTGTACCATCTTCACCTGCATTTCATGATGAAAATTTTCTTCCTTGCCTCCGTTTGACCACATCATTACTGGTGTTCTTAACAGGCAAACATCAAATGTGTTCTTGATCGTCATTCGAGTGGGACGTCTCCTGTGTCTAAGTCTGCGTCTGTCGCTGGGACACGTGCAACCACCGCTATCCACACTGAGAGACCGCCTCCGCAAGCCATAGTGACCGAATGGGGCGATAGTGTGTGTGACTATCCACTGCATCGGTTTCCTCTGCTTAATTCACATCACACCGCTAATCCACTGGCTCATTCGAGGAGTTGCCAATCGCTTCCTTCCGAACCACTAGGAAGCATTACCCATCGGTCGTCCGCACGCGATCGTGTGACGGGTTGGTTACACGCTGGCACTAGCATCGAGAGTGTTGTGCAGAGAGGAACACGTGCGTACGAAGAACACGAGAGCACGCAGCTGTCCGATGAGACATTGATCAGTCGACTGCTGTTCCCAACCCCTTGTGGACAGAAATGGTACGTATTACGAGTGGTTGATGCAATTTACCTACCTGCGTCTCCCAGCCACTGAGACGCATATCTTGTTTGTTTGTCTGTTTGGTTATTCGATTCCATTTCTAACTGATGTAGGATGATCACCAGTTCATAATACTCTCGCAAACAGGCCCTAGCGGATCGATTGGAGCTGCTCTCATGAAATCCCCTCATCGAAGCTGATCAGCTAATCTTACATTTAAGGTATTTAGTTCCCTTCAAAAACTTGAAATGCACGGGAAGAAGACGAAAGTGTTAATCGTATATGAAGCGCTGCTGCCTAGCCAGTGGCGTTTCGTTACGGTGATAATTTTCCAGCTATGTGAACTACTTCTTTTCGTACCCTGTGACCCCTTCTTATTTTATCGGAAGAAGTTGTTCCTCTTGAAGGTCATCCGACTTATTTTTGTGTGAGTGACAGGAGCTTGAATATTAGTTTACTGATTGTTAACTGGACACATCACATAGTCCTGTGACATCTGAGCTGCCTATGTATTTGATCGTACCAGTTGTGATTGAAAGAAACTCACTTTATCTGATCGACACTTAAATGTCCTTGGATATCATAAACAGCTTAACCGATGCGCATGTGTGCATGGACCTCTACACCTGCAGCGCTGGGATCACTTGGTAACTACCATAGGTTCTTGACACCCCATCAAATGGTTAACTCTCAAACGGCATGTAGATCTTAAATGTTGTAAAGACGCCCAGAGGGTGTCATGTACCTGTTATTACAATTCGTGTATTTTCACGGCCGTGTACGGCAACATCATGATCGACGATGTCCATCGAAAACGGTCTACATGTTTCATGGCGATCACAAAAGACGGACTAGGTCACATACACCTCTTTTGCTCCATATTCCGCATTCCCGTCTCTTTGTAAATCCAATGTTCCTCGTCCGTGAGCGAGAATGATGCGGAGAGAACCGGTTCACCTCATTTGCGATGAATACCTACGCTACTTTGCTGCGTTTGAAAATAGACATCTGCCTCGTATACTACACATGCATCAGCTTGGCCATAGCGACTCTGTTCAGAGTTGCATCTATGACAACCCGACTAGTTCAGAGAGCGAAAAATCACCATTATGACCGAGGACTTCTATTTGTAGTTTATATGGGTGGTGCCGAGTTTGTAAGTTCCCCTCTATAGTCTTTTCCACAAACTTGCGTGAAGTAAAAATTTTGCAAATAAAATTCAACATGTTGCAAAACCCT